CTTCCTTTGCTGTAAGTCAAGCACAACAGTTGGTAGCAAACATAATAATTGACAAAAGGTACTACCTTAATCCTTGCAAAATTCAAGCATGATTATGAACTAATTTTACTCATGATTTTCTGTTTGGTGCTTAATTATAAGAAAATTTTGATATTTCAATAAGGATACATGCTAACTTTTTTTATTTAAATGTATATTTGAAGAAAACAATTTTTAGATTGGTTTTAGGATTACAAATGTTAATTACCAGCCTAAATTAATGTCAACTATTATTATTATTATTATTCAAGAGTTTTTGTAATGATGGTCTTTTATTTTTATTTTTTACTTTCGACAGGCAGTTTGACCTCACAATAGTGCCTCTCAACCTACAAAAGCAATTTCAATGACTCCATTTCATTTCTTAGGGAAAAAAATGTGGATCTTACTATGTTAATGTAAAAGAATGAAATAAAATGTTTTGTCAGCTCTTTGTATCATTGTCAAAGAAATTTAAAACAGAAATCAATGAAGCTGAACCTTGAGCTCATAATTATCAGATCCATTTTTCTTTTCTTTATTTTCTTCTTCTAAATTTGCAACTTATTCTGAACAAACTTGATGAATTTCTTGGAAGAGAAGCTCATTCTTCTATTTGTTTCTTCTTTATGGGATATGATGACCTTCTTTGAATTATTTAGTCATGTTTTCCTTATTCTCCTGTTAAGAAATTTTGGAATTTTCATTGCCATCTATCATGTGTGATGAGTTCTAGCATATATATACCACTTGAAATTACATGTCTCTAGTAGTTTTTGATTAATTAGTTCTTCAGAGTGCAAACTGAGCTTATGGATGGGAAAAAACTTCTGTTTCTGGCAAACCGTATCTCCAAGAGGTTGGAAAACCTCCAATCTATCTGTTATTAGTAATTTCTATCAATTAATTAACAAACATATTTGTATGTCTTGGTTTTTGCTCTCCTTTTGGTATGGTTCCTCTTTTGTTTCTCTTTTTCTTAGAGGATTTTTGAGAGGTCCAAGGTAGAGGAAGCAAGAGGAGAGGTGGGATCCTTTCAATGTTTTTTACTTTTTATATGCTTTTCCTTCTTTGGTTTTTTTTTTCATAGATTTTTCTTTCTTTCTATTGTTTTTGGAATAATGTCTTTAATGAGAGGTGGGATTGATTTTTTACTTTTGTATGGTTTTGATTTTGGCTGTGAATGGAAACTTGGAATAAAGTCTTGATTGTTTTATCTGTTTTAGTTAATTCTATTTTTTTATAGTCTATTTACATCTATTGTTAGAAACTTAATTTTTATTCATGTTAAAGTTGTACTTGCAAGTTTTGTTCTATGAAACTTGAATGTTTTTAGAATCATCTTTTATCTTCTATCAAATATAATAGAGTTCGATTGTACTCTTTTGGTACAGGTTGAAACATTAGTACTTCTACTTAGCCTTGATCCAATGTGAGACAAAGGTAGAAGAAATTCTCTAATTTAACAAGTTGATCTTTCTATGTATAGTGTCATGGACTATTATTATTATTATTATTATTATTATTTCACAAGTTAATTTTTCCTTGGGTCAGGGATTGTTATTATTATCGTTATTATTTTATGTTGGTTAGCTATATTAATTTCACCCTATCTCTTTTCCTCTGAAAAAAATAAGGAAAAAGAATATTTTGAATGAACCTTAGCTTGGTTAATAGAGTAATTTTTTTCATCAAAATTGGTTGAGCCTGTCTATATTGTTGGGTTTTGCCACTCAACAGAACATGTCCATCATAATTAACTGCATTAGTAGTAATGTATTTAATTATTTTGTAACATTAGAGCAATAAATTTTCAGTTATTAAGAATCTCCAAATTTTTTTCATCATGGGGTTAAGGTCTTTGTCTTAACTATTGTTTGGTTTACCCATATCCCTAACTACGGTGATTCTTTTTCTGTAGTGATTCATGAACTCAATATTAGTAAAGAAGAGAATTGGTTGGTTTTGAAGAGTCAGCTATTAGATATTCCCATTGCCATATTTTCTACCAACTCTTTTGTGGGAGGAATGGAACGAAATGGAGTAATAGCAATACTAGGTTCAGAGTTTACTTGAATTCCTTAAAGGGAATCCGAAGTAGGTTTTGATGCAGTGCAACAATATATCGCATAATTTTTCGAATATAATCAGGGAAAATGTGAAACAGATGATCTTGTGTTTGTCTGAGGTATTGTATTTTTAGAATATAACCATCTTCAAGACTATAAATTGATTCTGCAGCTGAGCATCTAAATTGCAACCTGCTATAGGTCTCTAAAGAATCCAATTGCACACAGACACACAAAAGGAACAAAAGAAAACTTCTGAAGTATCCAATTTCTTAAGCCGAAAAGCACCTTACAATAAAGCAACAAAAACATGAGCTAGAACATAGACTTGATTTCAAAAGTTTATTGTGGTCTAGGGAACATTTCTCTTCCTTTTTCTTTAACAAGGTTTGTTAAGGCTAGATATTGTTAGAACTCGGGCAACCTTGACAAAATTAGTATTTTCTTGACATTTGCTTCCGGTTTATTTTATATTTCACTTTGGTTTGGCTTTTAATTAAATTTTTTTTTCATTGTAACCTTGGAAATTTGTCTTTAATATGCCTAGGTTGGTGCGTGTCTCATTGGTTTCGGTATCTTATTATCATTTCTTGACATAATTCATTCCTTTGACAAGGTTTTGCTTGCTCTATGGAATGTATGGCTTTCCTTTGAAGCTGTTATTTTCTAATGTACATCAAAGGAAATTATTTGATGCCTAAAAATTCAACAATGTTCTAACATTCTTTACTCAAATATTTTGCTCAACAGGGATAGAAACTGTCTGCTGGTAAACTTTGTCATCAAAGACCTTCTTAGGAAACTTGCATTTATTGTCTTTAAAGCTTAGAGTTGACTCTTAGACATGGAGCAGTTAGTAGCATCTTAAGAATTACTGACTAGATTGTTTGAATTTATTAGTTTTTTTATTATTTGGACAGCTAAGCAACATTTCATTTTCAAGGAAATTGGAACTCTTATTAGCTGCAATACATGCACTGTTGGGGATAGAAAAACATTTATAACTCTTCAGGTAAGTGAGGTTAATTGTACTTCTACTTTTGTTAATTTTTTCATCTAGTTCAACCCTTACCCTGCAAAATATCATCAACCCCCATGCATATTCTATTTACGTCTATGGTTTATGATGCACTTGGTATCACGACAAAGCAAGTATAACGAGAATGGGTCAATGATTGTTGTAAAAATTGTATGCTTCTTGGCCGTTATTCTAATTAAGGTTATTATGACACTTCATATGGTTTTGGAATTAATACTGTTTTAGGGTGCTACAAGCTATAGATTCAAGAGATGTTAGTGTTCTTGTGTGGCAGCTTTTATTATTATCCCAACAAAAACCATGATATCAACTATAATAATAGGGTCTATCAACTGTGCTCTAGTCTTTTCTAGAATCAAGCTATTTTAGTGCACAAGCGGAGCCAGAAAATTGAGGGAACTCTAATGCTATATCTCAACAAAATAACAAGTGTAGCAAATATTGCTGCTAAACTTGAATCTATAGAACATTTGCAAGAGTGTCAATGATAGGTAATACTCTATCTTGGAACAAAGTAACATGTGTACCAAAAATTTAGCATTTGTGGCAAATTTGATGTCGTTGATCGTGAGAACTCCAATGCTATATCTCAGCAAAGTAACAGGTTTAGTAAAAATTGCTGCTAAACTTGAATCTATGGAACATTGCAAGAATGTAATTCAAGGATAGGCAATACTCTATCTTGGATGAAGCATCCACTCTTCGATAACTCATTTTCATTGCATTTTCTATTCTAAAAAGCAAAAGGCATGTTATTAACTCAACTTCTTTTTGGATTTTATTGATGCTCATGTCTTTTGTGGGTGTTAGAGTCTATCAATGTATATTTATCTTCCGCTTTTATCCGATTTATTTCTTCTTGGATATAGTAAAAATGGTCGTTGTTTTCAGTTTGCCCATGGTTGAGATTTTAGGATTGGTCTTAGTATGATATCTGAGGATTCTAAAAGTGGAGCAATTTATCCTGGAAAGGTCAGAACAATAATTTTTTGTTGGTTCTCAAGAATTGCACAGCAATAGAGTCTGAGATGCTATTATCCAATACAACTATACAAGCTGTGATATATTATGCTCCCACACATCATATTTTGGGTTTTATCCCTCTACAAACTAATTTTTTCTATGATATTCAGTTTTATGATAATGTGAATTGCATGAAGAATATATGTTCTTCCCTGTCTTGGAATTCAGAATTTTAATACATCTATTGGGTAATCAAGGATGTTGACGTGCCAAAATGGATGGAGTCGCCATCTATCCAAATGAGGTGGGATAGATCACCAAGGTCTACGTAGAAATTGACTAGATTCGGAGGGTCGGTTAAGTGTGGGGAAGGTGTTAGGCACCCCACAAACTTCCATATAAATATGG